ACTCCTCTCTCCCAGCTGCTGCACAGTGGTTTTTTACCCGTTCTTAAATACGTTCTCATAAAGGTACCACCAGCCAGCATCGCTGATGGGCTCAACTTTGGGCAGCAGCAGGACCATTTTGGAGCCAGCTGGCACCAGCTGTATCTGACATGGAGTCAGCTCCTGGTGTCTTCTCACAGAGGCCCCCCCTACTATGAAAACCTTGCTATGGAAACTCAGTACACTGCCTTCCTTCCCCCTCCCTGCCCCATCCCAAATTCCCCACTTCAGCTTTCTTGGTCTTGCTCATTCCACTGGCAGTAAGAAAGCGAATGCATGTAAGGCCCCATGCCGTCACTGTTTTGTTAACTGTTCTGTCAACAAGATCCTTCTGACCAGGGTTTGTTTACAGGATGGCTTCTGTACCAGTATTTGATTTATGTGAGGACACTCTCTTGCCATGATATGTATGACTGAACTAGTAGTAATGCAACAGTGGGAAGCAATTGAAGAATCGCTAAAGAAGTTCCAACTACAGCTCCTATTTATAACAGCAGCGACCTAAAAATACACTTCAGTGGTTCATTAAACACGGGAACATTAGTAGTTACAAATAATTTTTTTCTGTCTTTATAGAAGTGTTGAAAGGGTATGCTATTATTATTTTTAGAATCATTAGGGACTATCTGTGATATGCTTCAAATGGTTTTAACTGTGGGTGTGAAAAACTGTGCAGAACACAGGTAAGCAGGTTTTTTAAAGCTGCTTAAGTATGCTCTCATCAAGTTAAATTGAATCTAAATAACACGGTTTTAATTGGAAGAGGTCTGCATAAAATAAAATGCAAGTGTCTCGCAGACAAAGACTTTTTTTTATTAGAGTAGAGCATTTCCTGTGACAGCAGTGTTTTCAAAGCCCTTGAATTGGTTCAAAACCAAGCATTTCTTTTAATTTCTTCAGTACTCTACCCTCATTTTTTTGCTCCCTTTCTTCTGTTTCAGTGGAACATATCACTCCAGAGATGAAAGCACAGATAGTGGACTTAGCATGAGCAGTTATAGTGTACCCAGAACCCCCGATGACTTCCTGAACAGTGTTGATGAGATGGATACAGGTCTGTTTTTGTGTACATCCTTAATGCATGTTTTCCAAATACACTTTGGTCCATTTGTAATGAAAACAAGCATCTCTGAGAAGCTGTGATACCTTTTGTGTTGTTTTTCTACCAACTTCTATTTTGGTAATAGGAATACTGTCCTTAGATTTGTGCGAAACATACTTGTAATCAACTCTGTTGGGAGAATGGGAGATTGCTCATAAATAGTATCACTCCTGTTGTTATATGGAATTTGAGTGTCCATTTACCTTTTTAAGTAATACAGTTTGTTCAGAGCTGAGTAGTACCTCATCCAGTGTTGCTAATACTGCTCCGAAACAATATTTGACTCAGTATTGTCTTTTTCCTTTAAGCGTAAAAATTAAAATACGCTAAATGACATCAAAGATCTGTAGAGATCTGGGTCACTAGTTGAAAAAGGTTGAAACAAAGGCATGTTCTTTGTATGTCTGCATGCATTCAAGTCATCTTTGTGTTTTCTGATGAATTTCTATGAATTATGTTGCTTGTATGATGTAAGAGATAATGGATGAACCTTCAACCAGTTGTCCTGATAAACTGTGGGTTTGGTACTTCCAGTATATTTAATATCCATCTTGGTTTGTGTTATAACTAGGTGACAGTATCAGCCAAAGTAACATACCGTCCCATCAGAACCGTTTCCCCGACTACCTTGAAGCCATTCCAGGGACAAATGTGGACCTTGGGACACTGGAAGGAGATGGGATGAATATAGAAGGAGAAGAACTGATGCCAAGTCTGCAAGAGGCTTTGAGCTCTGACATCCTTAATGACATGGAATCTGTTTTGGCAGCCACCAAGCTAGATAAAGAGAGTTTTCTTACTTGGTTATAGGGGCCTCAGGGAGACTGAATTCTAAATCTGTGAAGGATCTAAGGAGAATAGGACATCTGTATCTGAAGTTCAGAACAAGCCAGTGTGGCACACTGTGGCTTGTGTTCAGAAAAAGTAAATGAACAAATACTGAACAAGATTCTTTCATTTTGCTCTTCCTTGTCCATCGCTGCTGTTATATATTGCTGACTTTTTTCCACAGTTGACTCTGAAGAACAGACATCTTCTTGATCTTTTTCTATTGCTGTTGCAACTACTGTTCAAGGGGGGTGGGGAGGGACGATGAGCCTATTTGGATGACGAATGCCATTCCTTTTGTCCTAGTGTGCGCTTGCATATCATTTTATCTAAGTACTCAGAGAGTTAATTTCTGCATGTCACTGCTTGTAGTTTACTCAGCTAGTTGTCTCCTGCTGCCTGTGGCAAGTGGTAAAACATGACATACTGGGGTGACAAGCCAAAAATGATGTATCTGGTCAAAAGAAGTCAATACTGATTTGGAGATACGACTTAAAGGAGGGCTGAAGACTGATTGGCATTAAGTGTTTCTAATAGTAGCTCTTTCATTAGTCACAAAGTGCTCTTGTTCATATTTTATGTTATAGTAAATCATGAGTCATTTTACATAGAAACATATATGAACTTTGATTGTTGCCACATATTCTAGCCTAACTTTTGTTTGTCAAAAATAGTTTGGTTATTTTTGTTAGTTGGTTTAACTGTAGCTGTAGGATGGGAAGTAATTATAGGTTTGTTTTTTTTTTTAATAGTGAAATCTAAGTTTTTTTTCTGATTTCACATAGTCTTATTTAAATCTGAATTGTCTGCTTTTTTATACTTAAAACGTGCCTATTGTAGCCTGATAAGCTAGTGAGTACATAAACCAGTATGTTTTGCCTGTAACTTTTTTATTTTTTTAAAGGCTAGCTTTGAATGTAATCATTAGAATTCATGACCAGTGGCTTATTTTTCATGTTTATTTGCAAGATTTTGAATTAGAATCTGATTGCAATAACGTAAAAGTTAGAATCCTAAGTGTCATATGTACAATTTTTAAATGCATTTTAAAGTAGCAGAAACCATTTTAAAATGACAGATGCATCTAACCTCTCTTCTGGTTTTCAGTTTTGATATCTAAGTGAGTTTAGATTTTAAAATCCTTAATGAGAAAAAACTTTAGGAAAAGTTTCTCTTAAGTTAGCATGGAAAAAGTCGGAACTATTAGTATCACTTCAAGTTGCAATGAAAACGCTAGAGCACCAAAAAAAAAAAAAAATCCTCCAGAAAAACTCCTATGTGTAATAGTTATCACATTCTGTTTGGTGAAAAATAAGCCCTGGACACTATATGTAGAAGAATGTAAAGATATGTGTTAGATGGTGACATGAGCAGGTAATGAAGTGTATATTAGTAGTAGTGCTTAGCATGGGGTAGAGGTGAATATGAATTATCTGTATTTTAACAGGAAAAGATGTATCACTAAGTTGTCTGCAGGAGTTGACACAGTTTCCAAAGAGTATTTTTAAATGAACAAAATGAGCATGAATCAAACTTTCAGTATAAGCTATGAAGTTTTGTGGGGCTTTTGGTTTTTTCTGATGAAAAATAGTGTCACCAGTTAACACCTCTATAATTAAGGGCCTGTCACCATTCTCAACATGAGCCTTTATTTTCAAGGGTGTATAACACAACTATAAAGATACTGTAAGCCTGAAACTTGGTTTTGAAAAAAATCTCAGCTAGCAGGGACTTCTCCTGGGGAGAGATTTTTTTTTTTTGGTTGGTTGGTTTTTTTGTTTGTTCGTTTTGTCTTTCTTTTTTTAGACACTGATTATTTTTCAAGTTGAGAATGAATCAGCAAAACAAAACAAAATGAAGCCCATATTATCATCATTTGGATATTTTATGCTTCAGAAATAGTTCTGATTTAGGATAATGTAAAGAATGAAAACTCTGAACCAAGTCTCATTTTAAAAACTGAAGCAGCAGAGGCAGAGATTTGAAATTTGCCACTACAAATGTACATTTACTACTTTAGGATATTAGTGTTTGAAATACACAAAATTGTTTGTGGCTTGTTATGGGATACAGGCAGGTTTTAAAATACCAGTTTTCAAAACACATCCACAATGACAAATATATTCTGCTACATCAATAATTCAGCGATTAATAGGCCACTTATGTTGTGCAATGACACAGTAGCTCCTAAAGCAGTATATTGTGTCCACGGTAGGGATTTTAGTAGCATTTTTACAATTGCATTATGAATTCTTCTCTCTTCTTCCCTTCAGGAAAAAAAAAGACACTAAGTTGTTATAACTTGAATGATCTGACATAAAACCACAACAGCAAGGAAATTCAGAGTTGATTCCATTTCAGTTGTCTTCCGCAGTTGTATCCAGGTATAATAGCACATACGATGCACTGAGTGCAAACTCCTGACATGCTGTACCTTGCTACAACAGGGATGAGTACAGAACAAATTTTCTTTCCTTGCTTTTGTGTGTTTGTCACAGCTTTAATATTTGAATGTTTTCTTCTCATTGTAGAAACACTAAATGGCTTATACTGTATTTGGGTAGCACTGCTTGGGTAGATACTGACAAACTGGGAATCCTTGAACTGCTCTAACATTAATTATGTTTTGTGATACTTATTTTAATTGATACATTTCCGTTGTCTCATTTATTAGGAAACATACCATAGAGATGCTGTATTGTTGGCAATCAACATTAATTTGGATTTATTTTTTTTTTTAATTCTTCAAATGCATAGTTTGATGAAGTGGTTAAAATTCTTTGAAAAGCGAAAGTGGTTTGGGTAGTATTTTATACTGATGTATATATTGAAACAGAAATCATTGTAATAATTGTAATAGCTTTTAGTTACAAATACACTATGTGCAGACAGATGGGGCTGTACAGTACTGTGCTGTTCAACACCTGGGCGGGGCTGCTGCTTGGAAGCAGGTTGCAGTGTCAGTAAAAACCATATGCATCAACTATTGTACCATTCAGTGTTGGCGCTCACCAATGCAAATGGAGAAGAGACGATTTCAACATGATTAACACTACGTAGCTTTCACCTAGTACTAAAGTGACCTTTTCACTTACAAGCATGTTTTTTATACAAATTAACAGGTGTGCCTGTGTAAAATAATTTCTGTATCTTGGAAAAAATACTCTCCACATTTAGAATGTTTTATGTTAGAGAACTCCTAAATGCACCCTTGTCAAAAATTATATATATTACTGATGTTACTTTTAGGTATGAGCATGACTGTAAGTTAGGTACTTAAGTACATTCTGTTACATTATTTTTCTTTATGTAATACTTTTTCAGTTGTTTTATTTGGTATAAATATATACTTTGTGCTTAAACATCTTTGTTTGTTTTGAACATTCAATAATATGTAAAGATACTGATTTCCTCCAGTAAGATGGATGCATTGAATTGTTGGAATTCCTATGGTAGCATATCTGTTCTCATCTCCCTTGTCACTGCTTTTGTAGTCATAAACTCCCCTCCTGCAAATGTTGTGTACAAGCTCACCTTAGAGACAGAGGAGTCCCGCTGAAGTCGGTGAAGGCTTCACGTGACAGTATACATCTCGGGGCGTTTGCAATAACGAAGAGACCGTGACTCTACTGAGCCTCGTACCGTTTGTGTAAAACAACACATTAACTGCGTATGGCACTACAGTGAGAGCTGGTAACAGAACATATCTCATCTGCTATAAGAAAGCATCCACTGTTGGCAGATATGCTTGCAATGTTCAGGGTCTTCCCACGTAGCAGATATCTTTTTGGCTAACTAAGTTTATACAGTAATTTGTGGCAGACTATCAATAAAGACACACTATTTTCATTTCCAAGTTTTGACTTATGAATTGTGAAATACATGATGACATACCGTGAAAGTGTCTGAAGATTTTAGTTTAAAAAAAAAAACTTGACAGCATTTATTAATTTTGACCTTTTGTAAAACAGAAATTTTGAAAGGTGTTTTATTTTTAAAAGTTATACACTATTTGCATTTTAGTGGTTCCAGAGTTCCTACTATTCAGCACCGAAATGCCTCAACCCTGTGAAATTCAGTGCAGTTGTGCGTTATCTTAGTTAAAGGTCCAGGGCTCGATGCTTCTATCAGTTTGGCTTGTACTCGTGAGGTCATAGCTAGGTTTAGTCACTCAGATCCTTTAAATTTAAACCTGACATCACACCTTGCACCTGGGATTAGAAAGCCAGTGCCAGGGCATGACAAGGCTCCAGTTGTATTTGCCGATATCCCCGGCTCCCATTTATAAGGCGGTGACACGTGGCAGTAGTTGAAGTATGACTGACCACCTGAGACAGCCCTAAATAGACTGTGGTGGGCTCATTTAGCAATTCTTCTTGAAATATTTTCAACACTTAATTAAAAAGAACAAGTATTGGTTTCAGTAAGCCAGAAACAGTATGCTTCCAGGGAAGCTTTGAGTCTTCCCTGTGCTTATCTGCAAATTATCAGCAAAAGAAGCGTTTTTCACCTAGGATCTTTAACGAAATAATTATTTGAGATTGGGCTATGATCTGTCTAGCACCTCTGGTTCCGGAGGTTTGTTTGGACATAAAGTGAGGCCATCAATTTTATTTACAGTATCAGCATCTATAGTTTATATGTTCCTGTTGAAGATTAAAGGTGTGCTTCTTATCCCTTGTCATCACCACTTATTATTGCTAACAGTAGTTATCCGCACCCTCTAAATTTAGCTGTCATCAAAATAGGAAGACATCGGTACAGCATGAGAAATCGCGGTTGACAAGAAATAGTAAAACCAGTGCTAACTGGAGAACCAAATTGTAGAGTATCAGGTAGAGCTTTGTACCAGCTACCATATCCAGTACTTTGTGTCTCGTAAACAAAAAATCCAGTATGTTTTTCTCTAAAGAGAAAAGATGGAGGAAGCATGTTGACTAAGAAATTTATAAATACCAATACATCTGACAAAGCTGCCTAATGTTTTTTTGTGGAAAACTCATGATTTTTACTTTTCCTGACATACTCCTCTCTCTCTAATGCAGAGATGGTAACAGCGAATGCTACAGATGTAGGCTGTTATTGACTGGTATAATTTTTCTCTATATGGGAATGAAGTTGGTCCCTCTGATTTTAGTACTGTCTGTATTAAATGGGCTTGTATTAGAACATAAGAGGCAAAGTAATTTTATTGGATTTAAGTAATTTTATTGGATTTTCCTGTCTTTTTATTAGCAAGATACTTTTTTAAAAAAAAAGGGGGGGGGGGGGGGGGGGGGGGGTAAGTCAGGAGCAGCCTAAGAGGCTTTTTCTTCGATGTTGTACAACAACAACAACATAGAGCTCCATAAAAATGGTTAGATCTCACCTGAAATACCCTTTCTCCTTCTCCCATATATGTCATTTCTGAGCTATCCTAGCCTGTTTTAAATTATTGATCGTATTTACTGTCTGCGAGTTTTGCTTGCCTGACACCTAAAGACTGGGACTGTAGCGGTTGATGCTGTTTGTCCCCAAAGGAGAGCAGAGTTGTTCCTCTCCCAAATTCAGCTGTCATCCTCTAAAGTCTGTAATTTAATGCAGAAATGACAGGCCAACTCCAAACACCCTGCCCAGCTACTGTTAGAGGTTGGCTATCGGCAAGCATGATGTTTTCTGAACGATGGTGGATTCCTGTTCGAGCCTGGAGAAGTTGGGCTTTCCCATTCCCTTCCTGTGGTTTCTGCAGGCCGCGGTCACCGCAGGGGCTCGGAGCCCTCCCCGCGCCGCTGCCGCCCTGCCTGCTGGAGCACCCCTAACCGGGGCTTCAACCTGAGGGGAACGGTGGGGGGTTTTAAAGCTGGCAGTTTCATTCTGTCTCTCGCTCACGGTTTCATTGTTAGGCATGCAAATACAGTTGTGTCGGCTCTCGTGACTGACAGGTGACCCTTTTCAGACTTCACCAAGCGATGTAATTCTTTCATCCCATCGTGTGCTGTTGAAGAG